CATCATGTTATAGGCAGTTTTTAAATCTTTTTTCTCCTCTGTCTTTTGATCTATATTTCATTCTGATTTTAAGCATCTTGTAATTTTTAGAAAACATGAGGAAAACCCCCCACCCTCACAAAACCCCCCTAAAAAAAACCCAAACCTCCCCCAAACAACACTGGTCGGGGATTGAACTCCAGCCCTTCAACTTGACAGGCGAATATCGTCGGCCAGTTGTACTAAGCCCCAAATTTTGACTCACCCCCCCCCCCCCCCAGCTTTTTAAATTGTGTCGGTTTTACGTACGCAAGAAATATTTAGACGAAAATCAAATTCAAAATGCTGGAAAAAAAAGGTAGCCTAATAAAAGATATATAGGCCTAATGTGGGTTCAATTTTGAAAAGAACGAAGCAATTTTCCCTCCCTCTTGAAACATGTTGCTTTCTGGATTTCGAACATTTGAACAAATGAACGACGATAATATGTGTTTGTTAAGCTATGGAGACCGTAGATTTTTTTCAGGATCTAGATCTAAAGAGAGGTTTATAGGCCTCAGTTTTTCTTACAGTAGGCCTCGGGGTTTTCTTACATAGGCCTCGGTTTTTCAAAACAGGATGAGGAGTGATCAGACAGCAAAACTGTAGGCTAGTTTCGTTTTTAGATTTTTATTTAAAGTGACAGATGTAAGGTACATGTATGTACCAGCAAGAAGTCTGGTTCGGTATGTGTAACGAAATAACAACTTTGCTCAAATCATTCACGAACTACAAATTTTATGGACAGCGTATTCTTCCATATCATGAATCTCTGATATGTAATGATTTACCCAGTTATATGAGAGGCTTGAGTTCCTTGGCAATGTTCGAAAAGCAGCAAAAATCGCGTCTTTCAGTCTTTTCGTTTTATTTTAAGAATACTTCTGTTTTATGCCGTCTTTGCCAACATAATGTTATTAGTTATTAGCCTGAAACTGGAGAGACAGAGATAGAGAGAGAGAGGGGGGGGGAGGGAGGGAGGAAGAGAGAGAGAGAGAGAGAGAGAGAGAGAGAGAGAGAGAGAGAGAGAGAGAGAGAGAGAGAGAGAGAGAGAGAGAGAGAGAGAGAGGAACACAGAGACACAGAGACAGAGAGAGAGAGAGAGAAAATCGGGGATCACAATTAACTGAAAGTGTCTTCTTTTTCGAGTTCGACACCTTTCTGTATACATATATCTATCCAAACGTATTGTTCATCGCACTGCACTTTGATAGAAACGTTATAAAGTAGAGTAAAAAAAATCCAAGAACGCACGACCATATATAAGAGCTCGTGACTGACCCTGACGTATTGTGAGCTCAAACCACGTTATTGTGACGCAGCATTCTTCCTCTGCAGCGAGAAAGCGGACCTTTTACCTAACGCGAGGTTGCATAAAAGGGTGCGCTTGAACTTGTCTTGTCAGAGTTCTCACTAGAGTTCTGTATTTGGGTATTGGAGGTAGAATCTAGATCTAGTTAAGGTGAGATAATAATTTCTGCTTGTATTCTTTCTGATTTTTGATTTTTTAAAAGTTTTTTTTAATGACTACTAGTATGTTCTTTAAAAAAATCTTTTTAACTTTCTTCTTCTTTCCTCTCTATTCCTGTTGTTCCAGATGCTGCAACGACTGCTGGGACAGCCCCTCCTCCTCCTCCTCCTCCTCCTCCTCCTCCTCCTCCTCCTACTACTACTACTACTACTACTACTACTACTACTACTACTACTACTACTACTACTACTACTACTACTACTACTACTGCTACTACTACTACTACTACTACTACTACTACTAAGCCCACTTTTACTTATGCTACCGCTACTGCCTTATCTGCTGTGCACTATTGTCATTCTTACTTCAGTTTTGCCTTTTCCAACACTTGAACCGTTGCTACTTCTGTTCTGTTTTTTTTGGTGATTTTTTACTGCTTACTTTACTTTTACCTTTTTCTTCTGCTTGTACCGGGGGGTGTCGCGGGCAGACACAGGCGTCTATCTGCAGCAAGGCGAGTGGCCTGTAGGAGGGACATTCATTCCGTGAGCTCTGAGGGTGTCTGCCACAGATTCACTCCATCGTCGCCTTGGCCTTCCTCTGGCTCTCCATCCAGAATATTTAAAGTTGTATGCTCTCAGAGCTGGATGGTTTGAGGGCATCCGCGTGAGGTGTCCGAACCACTTGACCTTTAGTTTTTCAATGTGTGGTAGGACTGGTGTTGCTCCTACGGTGTCCCTTATGACTTCATTTTTAATTTTGTCTCTTCTTGTTTTGTTGACCGCTCTTCTTAAGCATTTCATGATCTCGCATGTGACCAGTTTCCTCTCTAGGGCTTTTGTTAGGGACCATGTCTGGCACTGATATGTGAGCGTTGGAAGGAAAATGGCGTTGAGGAACTTCGCCTTGGTGCTCATGGGGATATTGGGATGTTTCAGGAAAGGGCCGAGTTGATAGCTGACTTCGTTGGCTCTCTGGCATCTAGTCTCTATTTCTCGATCCAATTTTCCATTTTCTGTGAAAAATGCTGCTCAAGTATTTGAATTCTCTGCAAATTCTTTTTTACTGCAAGTTACGTTAAAAGCGCACAGCACAGACAATGACTGTTCGTGATGTTGGGACATCAGGAGGCCCAACGGGCATTCCCTGGCGTAAGATGGCACTTTTTCTTACTTAAAGGAAAGCCATTGTTTCCTGACAGAGCTCATATGGCTAATAGTACCCCAAACCCATGTTTTACTTACTTGTTCTGTCGTCTTGTACCGTAAGGTGTCGAGGAAAGGTGCAGTTGTCAGGCATGGGCCTGGTGTGTTGCGTTTTGGATCATCACGTTGTTCCTTTGGAGGGGCTCTTAGGCCTGTCAGAGCATTTTTTTTAAATTGGTCGTCGTCTTGTTTTTGGATCCATTGATTGAATCTCATGTTGTAGGCTTTTGAAGCTGACTGTTATCACATGGCCCCCCCATTGTCATAAGGTGTCCAAATTATTTTATACGTTGTATTTTGGTGTACTGCTTGCTTCATCTGGTGACTACTTGTTGCCCGGTGTCTTTTTTCTTAACCCTGTCCGTACGCCCTGGGGTCATTTTGTATCCCCGAGGTTGTATTCTTCACTTTTTAGAATACTTCTAGATCTAGTACGAAGATCTCTTTGAAACTTTCAATATTTCTCTAAAAAGAGATTTTGACAGACTGCTAAGCAAAGCGTACGGCTCGGACTAACGAGTAAATTTCCTCTTTATTGGAAGTAGTGGCACAGAGTTCCCGACGTCGTATGGATACGATAGTAAAACACAACGTACGGATAGGGTTAATTTGTCTCTCCTCGTCTTGCTTAGGGTCTTTCTGAGACATTTCATTTCACATACCGTGATTTTGCTTTGCTATACTTAGCTGCAGATACAAATTTGGCACTGGTAGTTGAGAGTTGGTATAACATTTATATGATGAGCTGTTTCTTTGTCTCTATTGAGATGTTTTGATTGTAGAGGAGGGGTGCCAGTTGATAGGAGACTGTATTTGTCTTTTGTTTTCCCGCTTAAATGTATCCGCACGTCGTATTTTACTATCGTATCCAAACGACGCGGGGGACTCTGTGCCACCACTTTCAAAGAAGAAATTTACTCGAGAATCCGATCCGTACGCTTTGCATAGCGGTCTGTCAAAATGATTTTTTGAGAAATACTGAAATTTTCAAAGAGATCTTTGCATAAGAAGTAGTATTCTAAAATATGAAGAATACAACCCCGGGGGTACAAAATGACCCCAGGGCGTATGGATAGGGTTAACATGTCTCTTCCCATTTGCCCGTTTTGTGTGAATATGCTTCTAAAGTAATATGATAATCCTTGAACTAGTTTCAACTGTGTATTGTTAACTTGGAAATTTTCATTACTTCTTTCTGTCTCAGTTGTGCTAATTTCCATTTCACATTTCTCTCATAGTTTATTCAGTTTGGTGGTATGCTATTGGAGACCGTCCTGGTCTTGGTGTATTAAGCTGTGGTCATCTTCAAAACACTGTTAATAATAATAATAATAAATGAAATTTATATAGCACTCAACCCCAATTGAAGTACACAGGCTCTGGGCGCTTTACAATACAGTACAACGTACAACAGTAGCATAAAACATTGTGTTCTGACTAAAAATTACTCCAAATATTCATCTTATTGATACATGTATAAAAGCAGAAACGACTTCAGCTGACATTTGAATGAATCACTGGTTTTTTCCCGGGTTATCTCCTTCAAGATTGGACAAGAATGACTGTCCATTACAAATTACTGATCCTTCCTTACCCCAGACGCACCAAATACAGCTCCCAATATCCATTCTATAACTCTCTATCTCACTACTGCCTCTTTCACAACTCACACTGACAAAATAGGTGCATGATAAATAAATACATGAATTATTAATGAGTTGCGAATACAATAAATAAACTCGTCAATAGTTTATATAAAACTACACCAATAGATGAATAACGATATATGACTATTTTTCTTTTCCTCCTATTATTGTCAGTCTCTTCTTCAACTCACATTAACAAAAATAAATGCATAAATGAATACATCAATAAATAATGAATGAAATGATATACAAAGATAAACAGATCGTCAGAACACTTGATAAGAAATACATCATCAAAAATACGATACTTTTCTTCGTATTTTCAGTCTCTTTACCACTGCCCATTTCTTTACATCTCGCACAGACAGAGAAAGAATAATAAATGAATACACGAATAGATAGTTAGAGAACGAATGCATTTTTGGATTATTTAAAAAGCAGGTTAGACATTTATGAAATTACACCAATTTGAATATATACAAACGTAAACAAATACTGTTATTTTTTAAAATTGTATTCCCAGATCAAGGCACTGTTACAATGAGGTCAACACTTGTAGTTCTGAGTATTCTGTTGTTTATTACACAGACAGCAGGTAGGTGGTTACTATACCTAGACTATAGGCTTTGAATCATTAGAGAGAGAGAGAGAGAGAGAGAGAGAGAGAGAGAGAGAGAGAGAGAGAGACAGACAGACAGACAGACAGACAGAGAGAGACAGAGAGACAGAGACAGAGAGACAGAGAGACGGGCGAGGGGGGAGATTAGGGGTGTGGTGGCGGTAGTGAGTGCAGAGATATTCGAAGAGAGAGGTTGCCGTTGCTGCTGTTGCTGCTGTTGCTGCTGTTGCTGTTGCAGTAGTTATCGTTGTTTCTGTTGTTGTTGTTTCTGTTGTTGTTGTTGTTGTTGTTGTTGTTTCTGTTGTTGTTGTTGTTGTTGTTGTTGTTTCTGTTGTTGTTGTTGTTGTTGTTGTAATTGTTGCTATTATTGTTGTCGTTGTTGTCGTTGTCGTTGTTTTAGTTCTGGTTGATGGAGGTGTAGCTGCTGTTGTTGCTGTTACTGTTATTGTAAGTGCAGCATTTTCCCGCCTTTTGTGCTTTTCTTCTTTTTTTTTTTTGGCTTTCCCTGGATTTTTTTTTCCCTTTTAATTATTTTTTGGGGGAAAAAGTTGTTCGTTCGTGTAGTTCCACTCTTGTGAGTAATACGAGTGCGTTCTAATGCTCCAAATTATCCTTCTTATTCTTTTCTCGGACAAGATGCTGCATGCTATGACGACGAGGCGAAATGCTTGACAGACTTCAAGAGCCTCCTGACAAATACGAGCATGTTCTGGTACGGATCCGGTTACGTCACAAGATGCCCAGCTGGTGTTAGTCGCGAGGAACCATCCTGCAACAACCCGGACCCCAACAGGCGGTCAGTACTCTCCAGACTTTTGAAGACTGACTTCACGGCAACGCTCCAGGGCTATGCTTCTGGGCTGTCTTTGGCTAATGTGACCTTCACATCTACCGCGGGTTTAGTAGTAGTAGTATAAGGTTTTACGGCGCTCGCAACTGCTAAGGTCATATGAGCGCGCG